GTAGTCGCTGCCGCCCGGGTCCCGCTCGCCCCTCCTCTGCGTTCCCCCCTCCCGCCGCCGCCCGGGCGCATGCGCCTCCGGAGCGCGAGGGTCGGCTTCGGGTGTGTGGTGGCGGCAGAGCGGAGCTGCGAGGCCCGAGAGTCAGAACCTGGGGGAGAGGGATGGTCTCTGCACGGGGGGGAGCCGGAGGAGCCGCCGCCGCTGCCGACGCCACCGCCGCAGCCGCCGCCGCCGCCGCTGCGCCCGCCTACCGGCGCTGAAGGGATCGTACGAAGCCGGCGAGGGAGAACCAGCAGCAGCGGTCGCCGGCACACCGCCCAGCATGGTCCGGGAAACCAGGCACCTCTGGGTGGGCAACTTACCGGAGAATGTGCGGGAAGAGAAGATCATCGAGCATTTCAAACGGTGAGTGACACGAGGCCACGCTTTCTCCTCGGGCCGCCGCTTCCCGCTCCGGCCGGTTGCCGGCCCGCCCCGTGCTCGGAACTGGGGAGGAGGACCCCAATCTTGGACTCCGAGACCGGTGCCGGGGGCGCGCGGGCTGCCTCGCCCGCCGCTTGGCCAGATCCCGGCGTTGGGCCTTGGCGAAGCGGCGCCGGCTGCTGTCCTCTCCCTTCCGAATAAGGAGGAGACTTTTGCTTAGCCTCCGCGATGCAGGCGTCCGAGCGTTGCCTTCACGTTGGCAAAGAAGCCGGTCGGAGCCGTGCTCCGGTGGCACTCCCTGGCGGTGTCGCGTCCTTGCGCGCGGGCTGCCCCTGCGAGCCGTTCCCCATGTCTTTGGGACTCCCTTCCCCGAGCCCCTTGTCGGAGCAGCCATCCCGCACCCGCCGGGCGAAAGCAGCCGAATAGAGCTGCGGCTGACGGGCTGCGACCGGCCCGGGAACTGGACCCCTCCCAGACCCGCCCCCTGCCGCTGGCAGCCCCGGCATCACAAACTCCCGATCGCGCTGCAACTCCCGATCCGCTCACAAGGACGCACGGCAATGTCTGACTTAGGTTTTTATGTGAAAGAAAAGGTTGCACAAAAACAAAAAAGTCGTGGTAGGTAATGTAGGAACATCTCTGATTTGGGAAGATATTGTTAGATTCTAGAGACCTCTCACGGAAGAGTTAAAGACCTGGGAACTAAATGAAAATGACAAGTACGTTTAAAAAATTAATTTTGTTTTTGCAGGGTTGGGTGGAGAATGATGTCTAATAAGTTGGTGCCGGTGTTTCGGCTCTTTTGCCTTTCTTCCTCTAGCCCTTTTGGATCTCTGGATGAGGAAGGTGGGGACTAAATGCTTGCAGTAAAGCATCAACCTCAAATAGGAAGGTACCCACTTCAGATAAGGCTCTGAAGCAAAGAGAAAGCTCCAGCACTTAACTACCGCAGTCGTGTTGGCTTTATTGCACATCTTTCTTTAAAATAGTATTTTCCCCCACTCATAATTCGTTTATCAAATGGTTTAAAAATACAAGCCATTTAAGATGAGTAGAGCTTTTTTTTTTTTTTTTAAATCTCCTTGAGTTTTGTATGCCCATGAAATGTAAGAGCAAAACTTGTTTTTGATACGTCTTTTTTATTTAGTAGCGTTTAGCGCTTTTGTGTGTCTGTGACTCTATGTATACGTAATTGTTAAGAGTTCAAAATAAAATGCTTCAAATAATGATTTACTTAGACTTGGTTCACATTGGGAAGGACCATACAAGTCTTTATGATCATCCTAAAAAATTACTGTTTCTCCTCATATTGAAGCCCTTAAAGGTTTTTGGTTTGATGTACTCTTAATTCTTCTCAATATTTACTGAGTGAAGGAAATTATGGCGCGTCCTCATTAGTGAGTCACCATGGGAAAAATAGATTGCATCGCTCGCTGTTGCGCTGCTTGGATAAGGAAATGGAAGCAGAGGCAGCAGAGCTCCTGTCTTTTAAATGGAGGAGGATCATTGATTCTGTTGGTGGTTGCTGTTACTGGGATATTAAATCTTCACCACTGGAGCGCGCGTCTGCGCGTGCCCGCGTGTGAAAAGGAGCCAGGAATAGTGAGACCATTCATAACCTGCTAAAGCTGCCCTCGGCAGGGCTGGGGGAGGTGCGCTTCCAGGGACTCTCCCAGTATTTACTACGTTGTGCCTGAGAAACTAGGCGAGGGAAAGGCAGGGAGCAAAAACTCAGCTCTGTTCCGGATGGTAAAGGGGAGACGTTGAGCTGAATTGGGAAGCAGATGAGAACTTTCTCATCCTGACGTTGCTCCACCCCTTTCCCCCTCCTATCCTCCACCCCCAGTATCTCAATGTTTTGGTAGGAAAATAATTTAGGTACAGGTAATTGGAGGGCATAAACCACTTAGATGGTCTCACTTTTGTCTCCTTGTATCTGTAGGTCTCTGGATGGGAAATTCGTATGCATCAACGAGCAAACACGTGCATTGCAGCATTTTCTTTGCTCTATGATATATAGTCAGAAGTGTCGTTTTGCTTTACGCAGATTTCCAGAGACATTGCATGCATTGCGTTTCCTTGTTTGTTTAGTGGAGTTTGACCCTTTTGCAAGTTGAGAGGTTAGAGATAGGAAAGAGGAAATTGTCCAAGGGAGTTTTGGGAGGCGTTTAAGTGGATGGTGCTGCGGTCTGTCTTGTGTGAATGACTTTCTAAAATGGCGGCTAGGACCCACTTTATGTGGGAATCAGCAGAGCAGATCTCAGAATGCACAGGGGGAGGAGGAGACGGAGGATGCGCGCTGCCTTGGAAAGCGGCAGTCTGCAGGAACATTAGTGTATTAAAGAGGGTTGAGCTGGCACATTGCTCACGGCTGCATTTAAAGGAGTATCTTAACCTATTACAGAGCATAAGCAGACGCTTCCTATAAAAGCAGGTTATTTGAAAACTAAGCAGACTATGTGCCCCTGAAACTCCTTTGTTTTAAAGGCGACTTCTTGCTTGTTTAAACAGATGTATTTTGTTATTTGAATAAAGTGTGAAAGGGTGGGTATACACAGAAAAATCTCCCCACCATCCTTGACCCTGGGCCTCCCAGTTCCCATTCCTCCTCCCTGCCAGGTAATCTCTGTTTAAATGTGTTTTTGGTTTCTTGCTTATTCTTAAAGACTTTTTCTGCATATACAAGAAATGCCATTGCTGTTTCAACTGTGGATGATTTTTGGAGGAATTCAAGGCTTTTTATTTCTATTGTGGAATATGTATTAAAAAACGTGTGATGCCATTGGGAGGGAAAACTAAATTTGAATAATTTAATTGAAAGGGACAAAAACGCAGTTGTACCAGAACATGACTGCTAGTAAACTTAAATGTATTTGTCTCTGGTGTTTTCTAGAAATCAGAATGAGAAGAACCGCACGATACCTGTATTAAAACTGAGGTTAATACCTTTACCCTTTTCCCAGCTGATTACGACATTAACTAATAACTGTTTACAGGATTAAGTGGTGTACACTGGGAATACAGTCTATAAAACATTTCCAAAATGAATGTTCTCTTAACAGTGACTATGCTTTTGTAGTAAGTTTTTGGATTTTAAAAAATCAGCTTTTCAAGCAAAGCAACTTAACAATTTTAACAAGCATTTTAGAAAGAAAAAAAAAAAGATTAAAGTCAGTATTTATTATTTTAATCAGTGTTTTTGGTGGAAAACACCTTGAGGGAAGGTTGCTGCTTTGACTTTTTCCTTAGGAAGTCCAAATCTTTAAAACATAATCAGAGCATTTAAAAATTTTTACTTTACCTTCTTGTAGTATCTACTGCTGTGTTCATTGTCTTTAAACTTTTCAATATGCTCATTTTTAAAAAATTAAATGAGAGCTATTTCTCAATCAGATTTTAGCTAACAAAGATTCATTGCAGGGACTGAATTTGCACAATGGAGAAAGTCCTCTTCTTTGTATGTTAGCTAGGTTGAAGGGGGAAGGGAGGAGTTACACAACAATTGGTGGCTGTCTTTTAGTTGTAAGAGGGAGAGAGGTGTGTGAAAAAACGCAAGTGAAAGGCCATTCCCTGAATTAGAATGAGCAAATGAATAGACTTTTTTTTTTTTTTTAAAGATTTAGAAATTCTTTATAGCTTATTATCAGATTTTAATGACATATTCTCCATACATTCCCCAGTTTAGAGAATATAGGTTAAACATTATGTATGCAAAGATTGAGTGAGGGAGCCGTTCATGTAAAAATTTTGTCAGAGACACATTAAAAAAAATGTTTTTTCAAAAATGAATTTTACATTGATCTTATCACAATAGTTTTCCTAAATTTAAATAGCTGGGATGTATGTTACATATATTCAAATATCTTTGCTTTTGGGACATAGTGTTAAATGTAACGGAAAAGAGTTTCTTTGTCTTTACATACTAGAGACATTTTTAGACTTTGTCTCAGCTTACTCTACATCATTGTTACATCATTTCTTCGTTTGAGACTGATGATTTCTACTATGTAGAAAGATTGCTGACTTTGAATGTCTTTTTTTTTTTTTTTAAATGGTAGGTCTTTGTACATTTAAAAAATAAGTATCAGTTGTCTTGAGAAATAGCATTTAAAAATTAATACAGAATACATATGATGTTGTATTTTATTTCCTAAGTAGAATGCCTCTGGCAAATTGGAGGAAAATAGAGGGCTTAGTGCCAGGAAGAATGATGGTGTTTGACTTGTGTAGATCGTACCTTTTCCCACCTACCTTTGTTGTAGACTCTTGATTGCTGGGGCATTACATTGATTGCTTATGAAGAGCTTTCAGGGTTGATTAATGAGACATTTTAAATCCTTCCGAGTACTAATGCTTTGGAAAGATTTATGTGGAAGTTATAAAGATAATGGTAATGTCAATGAAGGCTTTTCCAGATAGTCTTCCAAATCTTAGTTTGAGATTTTCTTAAATTTTTGTTACATATTCAAAATAGTTCAGGAAATCTAGCATATCCGATTGGAGGTTGTGTATTTCTTTGCTTTTATTTTCCAAAATCTCTAGTATCAGTTTGATCCATAGTTAGCCTGTACACAATATTTAGAGAGTAAACATTGTAGTCTGAAAATATCATTGATCTGTAGTAAATCTTCAACTTTATCATTATTTTTAAATATTTTTGCTTTACAGCTACTCATATTTTGAATGAAAATGGCATATTCTACTGAGGAAACCAATTAGAATGTTCAATCATTTTATTAGAGACCATGTTATTTTTTGGAGTTAATATTTGACTGTTTTTCAGTATGTGGAAATAGACTTTACAGTAAAAAGATGGCTTTGACATAATTTTTAATTATTACAATATTCAGATTTTCTCCCCCTACATATATTCCTTTCTGCAAAACTGGAAATTACAAGCATCTTAAAAAAACAAAAGTGAAATATCTCTATAAAATCTTAAATTTAGTGAATTCCTAGTTAATTGCTTATGAGTATATAGA